TCCTGATTGTGTTCCTATGATACATGCATGTGTATTAGTCTATTTGTCAGTGGGCTAATTCTAACCAACACAATTATGCTACCGATACGCCCAAGTGTTACAGCAGGTCTCCTAAACCTTCAACCCTTAAAACCTCAAACCCTTGAACCCTGTTCACTGTCATCCCACCTATTGCCTGCTGCTATCTGGTCTGCATTCTTATGGGGTGCTGTAACAAGATGAGGTAGGATGTCAGCGTAGCTGGGTGGCGCTGTCATGGCTCCGCCCTGTTGCCTCCGTCTCAAAACCCATCTGAACCTTCCCTCCCAGTCTCCCAGTATTGTCCAAGTGTTCTGCGACTGCAGAGGGTATAGCCCTGGTCCTCATGCTCCATGCCCCTTCCTTATGCTGCCTATGTTTCCTTTTGCTGTTCCATCGATGGGGTCATATTTGCTGCATGATTCGTCTTGAGAGGGAGGGAGTCCATGGCTCCGCCCTGTTGCCTCCGTCTCAAAACCCATCTGAACCCTCCCTCCCAGTCTCCCAGTATTGTCCAAGTGTTCTGCGACTGCAGAGGGTATAGCCCTTGTCCTCATGCTCCATGCCCCTTCCTTATGCTGCCTATGTTTCCTTTTGCTGTTCCATCGATGGGGTCGTATTTGCTGCGTGATTCGTCTTGAGAGGGAGGGAGTCCTTGCTTGGCCACCAATCAGCATCAGGGCGGAGGAGGGCGGAGGGGGGGAAGAGGGAAGGTGGTAGAGTAGTAGAAGGGGGGGGCTGGAGGGGGGGGGCAGTGGGGCCTGCTCAAAGGAAGGGCAGGGGCGGTGTGGTTGCAGGAGCAGGGGATTTCATGGGGTCATGAGATCCGAAAATACAGACCGCTAATTTGTAACAAGGATGAAGTTAGTCAGTTGGAAAGGGATATCAAAGTGGTTTTGAGGCAGTCGTTCCCATCGGGATTCTGTTCATAGCCACTGTTTCCATCGCAGATGGTTGTCCGGGTCCAGATCACAGAGCCTCTATTCGTTATCCACCCATAACGTGTGGAAGTTGTGTGAGAGGTCGTTACGTTTGACTGCATCCGTTTCGTTTGTCAGCATGTTTCGAAGCTCTTGCCAGGCCACATGGGTACTGACCGTTATTGTTTCCGTGATTGATGCCCGTGCTTCCATATACCCGAACGTGTGCTGTTTGCGTTCGTGTGCACACCTCATTCGCCATGCCGCCATAAGCATTGGTAGGCGTGTGATGGTGAACAGGTTGGACATAAAGGGCGTCCATTGGGTCATTTGTGGAGTCTTTTCCCCAAACAGGATTACTTTGATATCCCATGGAATATGTGTTCCTGTGAGGTAATGCCATGCCTCGTCCCACCAGCTCCACCGTTGGGCCACCATAGGGCAGTCCAAAAGACAATGTTCCAAGGTGGCTCTTCTTTGGGGGGATCTTGTTCCACCGCAGTAGCTGCACAGTGGGGACAACTCTCCCCGAATTTCCAAATCCGTTCTGGATGTGATCCAGTCCGGGGTAGGGAGGCATCTGTGGATGATCTGCCATTGCAGAGCTCTCAGATTGGTGGGCTGGATCCGTGAATATGAGGCCCAATTGAGACTATGTAGGTCCTCTCTTTTGAGGGGAGAGTCTTTGTCCCATCGTAATCCAACCTGGTCTGTTATGTGTGCTTTCGGTCGAGCAATCTTGTATCCATTTTTAACCGTGTATTGCCATAACTGAAGTGTACATCTCCCTGCCTGGTTCCATTCCCATTCCTGGGGGTCAAACGGCAATTGGTTGAGAGGGGTTGCCGACTCATAGGCATACGGTCCATTTTCCCTGTCACTGAGGACCCGGATTCTTATCAGCCCCATGGCGGGTCGCTAGCGGTCCAGGTTGCCTTTTCTGAGCAATTTGGACCACCTTTGTCCCGGGGTGCATAGGCCTGAAGTGACGCTGTGTGATCATGTACCTTGTCCACCTTGTACAATACCATAGGGATCGGCCAATCCTCAGGCGTGACGACCCAGTCTCTTGGTCTGATCCTCGGGCCTCTTCTCAGTTCTGATATCTAGGCCAATGGGATGGCTTCCTGCATTTTTTGTAGTCTTTCCTGAAGATTTCTGATATGGGCCATTCGCGGGCGGAGTTCCTGTTCGGTATGCCAAGAGTTTGTTTGGTCGTTCCATAAGTGACCAATTGTATACAATCCCTTTTTCACCCACAACAACCATTTTGAGTGAGTGTAGAGTGGGAAGGGGTGGCCTGTTCGATCAAGGAGATTCGAGTTACCGAAGAGGGGTTGCCTCCATCTCTCTTCCCATCTTAGTGCAGCCGTTTTCTGTGCCAGCCCCCTTTCCCTCCAGAGTCGTAGAAACGTGGTCCATAGGGGGTCTATCCTAAGGTCCCATTTGACTGTTGATGTTGGTGTGTCCTCTGATCGCGTGCGGGGTGGATCCAGGATCGTCCAATATTTGTTAGTTAGCCACTGTAGTGGGTGTACCTTCGTGTCTCCATTGGACTGTGGGGCCAGGGCCTGAATTTGGATGAGGGCATATGGTGCCCATGGTTGCCAATCAGCAGTCTTATCAAAAATTTGAAAAGCAATGCCTTTATCTCATTCTCTGGGTCGACAATTCCGAGACCCTCTTTGGTGCGCGGTTGGGTGACGACTTTCCACGCCACTCTTCGGATGCATTTGATGTGCTCATGATTACCTCGCCATAGGTAAGTTGATGCAGCCTGTCGCAGTCTTGTTATCTAAGCTCTGGTGAGCTGCCAAAAAGCCACTTTGTACCAAATTGCCATGAAGATGGCATTGTTTATTGCAAGGGCACGACCCACGACTCGAGTGATGTGCGGGTTGATTTCCATGCATTCATGCGTTGTATTGCTAGGTCTACCAATTTGTCGTCGTGGTCGTGTGGTGGGCCAGTTGCTGTTAGGTTGACCCCCAACACTCTGATGGCAGCTTCCTTGGATTTCCAATCGACTCTCGGATGCATTTGATGTGCTCATGATTACCTCGCCATAGGTAAGTTGATGCAGCCTGTCGCAATCTTGTTATCTGAGCTCTGGTGAGCTGCCAAAAAGCCAGTTTGTACCAAATTGCCATGAAGATGGCATTGTTTATAGCGAGGGCACGACCCACGACTCGAGTGATGCGCGGGTTGATTTCCATGCATTCATGCATTTTATTGCTAGGTCTACCAATCTGTCGTCGTGGTCGTGTGGTCGGCCTGTTGTTGTTAGGTTGACCCCGAACACTCTGATGGCAGTTTCCTTGGATTTCCAATCGACTCTGAGAGTATCTGGTGGTGGGTTATTATTGTCTTTGGTAAGCCACCAGCCTTCAGTTTTTGTTCCCCGGTTGACTTTCATGTCCGCCGCCACTTCAAAAAGGTGAATCGTACCTGCAAGCGCCCTCATACTTTCTGGTTTAGCCCTAAAGAGAACAGTGAGGTCATTTGCAAAGATGGATGTGATCGGGATGAGGTGGGAAGGTATTTCCTGTACCTCGATTCTTTGAATCGTCGGGTTTGCTCGGATCATTGCCGCCAGTGCTTCCATGATAAGAACAGAAAGCATTGGCGCAATGGGGTCTCCCTGTCTTACTGATCTCTGCAAGCGTATCGGGGGTGCAAGGTGCCCATTCATCATCACATTGGTGGAGGCTGTGCTGTGGAAAATGTTTACCCATTTCTGGAATATGGGCCCAAAATTCATTCTGTTTAGGCACATCTGAAGAAAATCCTAGTCAACATGATCATATGCCTTTTCAAAATCAATGAAGAGTATGGCTGCATCTACCTGTCGTTGTCTAGCATATCTGATGGTCTCATTTACAAGTAGGATGTTGTCCTGAATGTTTATGAGGGGCATGAAGCCTGACTGGTCTGGGTGGATGAGATGTGAGAGGGTTGGTAAGAGCCTACTAGCCCACACTTCTGCTACAATTTTATACGGGACCGATAGCAGAGTAATGGGTCTGAGTTACAGATATCTTCCTTGTCCCCCTTCTTCTATGTAAGTGTCGTGATCCCTTGACCAATCATATCCCCAAAGGTCTCTTCTATGAAGCCTGCATTAACATATTGGCAAAAATCGTCCTAGAATATATCCCAGAATTGAAGTCAGAACTCCTTTGGGAAAGAGTCTAGACCCGACATTTTTTCTTCCTCCATGTCCCGTAGGGCCTGTAGCATATCCTCTCGCGTGATCGATGTCTCCATTGCTTCTTGTTGCTGTGTTGAGAGCATTGATGGGAGGGCATTGAGGAGACTGTCACAGGCCCCTTGCCAGTCATGGGGTGGCCTCTGTCTAGCTTCAGATGTAAAGAGACTTTGATAGTAGGATGAGGCATATTCTGCAATTTTGTAAGTGTTAGTTGCCATTGGGTGGCTATTGTCAAATGGGTGCCTCAGGGATGGGACTGTGTTCTGTCTAGTTTTGGCCTTCGTTTTCCGAAAGAACGTCCTGGTCATCATCCCATCAGCTGCATATCCTCCATTTTCGTGCCTGGTTATCGTAATATTCTTGTAAGTTCTAACTAAACTCGTGCTCTTTGTAGCGCATTATAGGTTTCTATGTCCATTGGGTTATCCATGAGATGGGCATCCCATTCTTCTAACTGAAGCAATAGTCTGTCAATGTTTATCTTCATGTTCCTTGCTTGTTTAATTGAGTACTTTTTGACTCTTTCCTTGAGATGTGCTATACCCTCATTAAACGATTGGACCAATCTTCCATCGTCTGGTTTCTGTGTAGTCCAGTATGTCCAAAAGTCTTTGACGAGGTTCTCAAAGGAGGCAAGTTTCAAGAGAGAGGTATTCAGTTTTAAGAAATCCGGGCTTCTCACAATGTGAGAGTGGTAAGATAGTCCCGTTATTATCATTCGGTGGTCCAAGGACTGACATGCTGAGATAAGGAATATGTCTGCTACCGTGAGCAAACCAGATATTTCATCTGAAATCAGGCAGAGGTCAATCCTAGAATTAGCTATGCCTCTGTCCCCTCTAGATCTCACGCATGTGGAGGCCCTCTTGGTGGGGTTCAGTTGTCTGTAAGAGTCCGTGAGGCACATGTCCGCCATCATGTATCCCATGGCTGTAACATCAGGACCGTTGGCCTCTCACAATGTGAGAGTGGTAAGATAGTCCCGCTATTATCATTCGGTGGTCCAAGGACTGGCATGCTGAGATAAAGCATATGTCTGCTACCGTGAGTAAACCAGATATTTCATATGAAATCAGGCAGAGGTCAATCCTAGAATTAGCTATACCTCTGTCCCCTCTAGATCTCACGCATGTGTAGGCCCTCTTGGCGGGGTTCAGTTGTCTGTAAGAGTTCGTGAGGCACAGGTCCGCCATCATGTATCCCAGGGCTGTAACATCAGGACCATTGTTCTCTCGGTCTTGTCGGATATTTTGGGAGGTAGATCTCCGGTCCATAAGTGGTTCTGACGTTGTATTGAAGTCCCCCATCATTATGATGGGGACATCACGAGGCAGCGACTGTTGCAGGGAACCAAAAAAGGCAGCTTTTTGCAGCAGATCATTGGGTGCATAAAATGCACACCAGGTACAGTGAGTCTGATCCTAGCGTGGCTTTCAGCCACACCCATCCTCCTTCCGCCCGATCCCAATCTGCACTCTCAGGTATCAATCTAGAGGTGGGGTGGAGCCACAAGGCGACACCCGTAGATCTTGCGGCTCTGGCCGGAGCTGCGTAGGAGGTGTAAGGCCAGACCTGGCTCGCCCTCGCTTGATGTGTTGGTGAGTCGGTCAGATGAGTCTCTTGTACTGCAATCACATCTCGCCAGTTACCCCTCGTGTCTCATATCATCAGATTACATATTGCCTTTCTCTTTTGCTCATTAGGTTGTGCTAGTCCGTTGACGTTTATCGACCTGATGTCTAGATCTGCCTCCAGTATCTTTTTAGCCCACATTGGTTGCGTTCTGAGCGGTGGAGCCAGTCGAGGAGGGCTAGGGCACCTAGGTGGGTGAGGCAGATGAGGCGGATAAGGAGGACCATTAGTCACCGGAGCGCAGTTTTGTGTTGCCATATTATTGAGTCATGTGAGGTTTGTTCGCCCGCTAGCTGCACGGGGTTGGGGGTTCACGCCCTAGAATGGAAGTGTCTGATAAATGGGTGGTCATCCCATTGCTGATATTCCTCCAGTGCATCTTCATGGAGGAGAATTTTGAGAAAGAGGATTTGTTCCTCCATTGTCCAAGCATTGTTGGACCTCAATCTGGTCGTTGGCATGCTTCTGAGTTATTGGTGTGTCATCCACTGCAGATGGCAGTCCCCTTGCTGGGACTGTGCAGCATCAGGGAACAGGAGGAGGATGGGAGTTACTCCCTTAGGAAAGGGAATGTCTTGCGGAAAAACGGTCCCGATGGCATTCCTGTCTCCATTTTGTTGTGCATAGATCCTTCGCATATTTCTTGTGATGGTTTGTCCTCTCTAGCCCAGAAGTGTGAGACCCTGCTGGGGGTCCTCCGAGTAAGATTTGCTTGCTAGTTTTGGGACCCGGTGCAGGTTGGGACGGAGGTGCAACTGCCAGGATGCCCCCTCAGCCTTCCTTCTAATGGGCAGCATGACAACACCCGCACTATTTGAAGGGGTGGAGAGGTTTCACCAGGGGTATTCAAATGATCTTTAAGCAGCACCTCTTTAGATGGGTTATCCCCCAGTTCCTGACCTGTCTTGCCGAGGTATTCAAATGATCTTTAATCAGCACCTCTTTAGATGGGTTATCCCCCAGTTCCTGACCTGTCTTGCCGAGTTCCTGCTCCCCGAGGTGTTGTTTGTGCATGAAGGGATCGTCAAGCCAGGTCTGAGCAGAATTACCCCCCTCCACTCGTAGTTGTTGCTGGCCTTCGTAGGGGCATACGACCAGGTCTAGTATGTCCCATTTGAACTCCGAGGTCGAACTGTCATCCGGTTCGGAGTCAGATTCTTGCACTTCTTCGTTAAGGGCCGAGTCTGATTCCAGGTCTGATTCCATTTCCGTCTGTGCATGAGCCTGCAGTATTAATTTTATTCCCAGTCTCTCAGCCCCCTTAGCCTGGTCTGATGAAACCCTGAGATCTGCGGCCGATTCGGGCTTGATATGAAGCAGGGGCCTGAGCAGGTGTGGCGACACCAGCTCATTGTCTGCAATTGCCAGGGTCGTGGTCAGGTGTTTGTCCACAATCACACTTTCCAGTTCTTGAATTATTACTGCGTGCCAGACTATTCCATCCCAGGTCAGGTCCTGAGTTGTGTCGTTGGTGTTGTTAGTGGTTAGGACTATCACCAAGCTCTCTTCTCCGCAGATCTGAGATTGTTCCACTTCTGGGCTTCTCTTTCTCATTTTGTCTTTGAGAGCGTGCACTGTGTCACTCACTCGAGCAGCGACAACCCGCCAATCTATAGTCGATGGGTCATCGTAGGCATCTATGAGCTGTGCGAGTGATGATGTGTTCATGAAAGCCCTCCTGATGTTCTCCCAGTGTGCCCCCTGAGCTAGCAGTCCCATCAGGATTGTATCTGTGATCACCTTGGCCTTAACTTTTTTATCCCTGGAGAGATGTTTTGGCCCCTTTGTGTTCATGTGGCGGGGTTGTGCATCCTTTCCCACTGATTTCCATTCATCACAGGTGACCTCCTGATCTCCCATTTGTATCTCAGTTCCTGCCTCGGGTGGGGGGGCCTCAGAGGTTTGAGAGAGGTTGCTCAGAGCCTCTGTGTGGGGACTGCTGATACAATCCACAAGTATGCAGTATTGACGCTGCTGGGGCTGCTGTTTCCCCAAGATGGGGGTGTAGTCCAAGTTCAGACTAACCCCAGGATGCATTCTGACAGCGATTCACATTCCGTAACCCACCCCTTGGGGGACCAGTGGGGAGGGTGTGCTACCCAGCGGGTTTCGACATTATCAGCAGGTCCCGCAACCGGGCCTGCTTGCTCCATAGGCAGCGGGCCAATTGTATCTTCTGCAGCAATCTCTACCCCTTCCATAGTTATAGGGAGTTCAGATGCAAGGGGGGGGAGGTCCAGGTTGCCCAGCCGTTTTCCCTTCGTCTGATTCTTTGGGGAGATTGTGTTTTCTGCTGTCCGGCCCGTCCATATGTGGGTCTAATGGTCGGGTCGACCTGTCATCAATTGGATGGGGTGGATGGCTCAGTTGGTGCTTTTCTGCATCTCCTACTTCCCCTGGTTCCCAGGTGCAGAGTTGTGATTTTGCTCTGCCACTGCTCCACCTTCTTCAGTCTAATGTCATCCATCCACAGCCGGTTGTCTGTCAGGTTGTGAGTGCTGGTTGTGGCAGTCTCCACCAACTGCTGGCTTGGCCCCTGCTGTGGTCCAGGCTGGTTACTATTCAATTTGTGTGGGTGGTCCAGTTGCTGCTGTCGCCGCAGTTGACGTTGTACAGTCTCAATCGACTGCTGGGCCTCAGTTCGTATCTGAGCCGCCGGTTGAACGGTCTGGATCTGCAGTTGTTGTTGCGTGTGTTGTCCCTCGTTCTGTTTAGCCTCTAGTATGTCTACCGGTCCTTGCTGCCCAGTTTGCAATTGGTTCAAGTGGCAGCACTGTTGAACTGGTTGCTGTGTTCCTGTCATTGGAGATGGTAGGAGCCACCGGGGGCCGGGGTTGAATTCAGGCTGTGTAACAGGCCGAATCGTGTGCTGCTGCTGCTGCTGCTGCCGCTGCATCGTGTTCTGTTGTGTCTGGGGGTTCTGCTGCTGTATCTGCTGGTGTTGTTGTGGCTGCGGGTTCTGCTGTGTCTGGTGCGGCTGGTGTTGCGACTGTTGTTGCGGCAGCCTCAGCCCCTTTTGCTGATGATCATGTTCGGGCTGCACAGCTGGCTGGGTCATCGGCTGCTGCTGTTGCGGCATCCGCCAGTGTTGTTGCTGCTGTATGTTCTGCTGTGTCTGGTGCGGCTGCGTTTGCCGTATTTGCAGCTGGTTTTGCGTCTGGTTTTGCGGTTGCGTCTGCCGTTTCTGCTGCTGCTGCTGATGGTCCAGCTGCGGCTTGTGCTGTTGCTGCTGCTGAGGGTTCTGCTCCTGTTGGGTCGCTTGCGGGTGGTTTGCTTGTTGGTGCCCCTTTGCCTGTGTCCCGCCAGTTGTTGGGGTGTTGGACGACTGGTTGTTGGGTTGGCTGAGTTCTTCTCTGCTTCTTTGTCTTTCCTGTCTGCCCCTGGGGTAGCTGTTGCGTGCAAGTGTGTTTGTCGGTGAGGGGGGCGGGGGTCCTTCCCCTTCCCATTTCCAGACTCCCGGGGTTTTAATGGCTTTCCTATAGAAAACCCAGCCGTGGTATGACTTATCTTCTGATACCCACCTCCCCGGTCCATCCGGATGCAGTTTTACAAGTCCTTGCGTTTGATTGTCCCGGTAAATGGGACATTGCACATCAGTGTATAGGTGCCCTCTGATCTTACATGCATAGCACCAGGGATCCTGGGGATGACTAACTTGAACTGTGGTAGCCGCTGTATCACAGAAGGACTTCTCCTTAACGGACCCTACAATAACCAGGTGGCTTATGCACATAAGAATGTTTAACTACATAGTGGAGCGTATGTCTGGGACCGAGAATGTTGTAGCAGATGGGCTGTCACAAATTACATTAGAGGAGGGGGATTTGGGGTCGCCTGGAGGGGTCAACAAGTTCTTGCGGATGGAAATAGGCTCGGTGAGGATGGAGTCTAGCACTAGTGGCGCCGCTTCGTTCCTGGAGAACCTCTATACCGATAAGTACCACCAAATAGGGCTATATCTGCTAGGGGAAACGGAGGTTGATGATAGACTTAGGAAGGAGGCCACCTCAGCAGTATTGTCGTAAGGCAGGCCACCTCATCAAAAGACCGCCTAAGAACGGTATGCCGATGAGCGTAGTATGAGACAAGGAAGAGCGAAGGGAGATAATTGTAGAGCCTCACAATGGGGTCGTTGGAGGTCATACAGGAGTGAAAGGGATTTTTGAAAAGGGTAGGAATACCTACTGGTGGGACGACTTATATAGAGATGTAGAGGTCTATTGCCAAACATGCGAGGAATGCCAGAAGAGAGCGGTAGTCAAATACAAGGAACCGTTGTTTCCTTCTTATCCGACGACGATAGGCCAAGAGGTTCATGTGGACTTAGTTAAGATGCCCAAGGGAAAAGGAGGAATGAATTACACATGGATATCAGGGATGACCTGACGTCAAAAGATGGCGAAAACAGTCAGCGAGTGTCTGACAAAGTATATCACCCGGTACGGGTGTGTCGGAAAAATTGTCATGGATAGGGGGTCGGAGTTTATGGCTAAGGAAGTCCAAACCTTGTTGCAAAGGGCAGGGATCCGCGTATCGTTGTCCACGGCGTACCATCCCCAGAGTAATGCTCCTGCGGAAAAGGGACATCAATCCTTAGTGAATGCACTCACCAAATGGTGTGGGGGGGGAAAGAAGAAGTGGCCAAAGTACTTGAGATTCGCGGTCTGGGCGGATAATATTACTGTCCGAACCACCACCGGTTACCCGCCCTACACCCTATGGTTCGGGAAACACTGCCTCTTGCCCGTAGAGTTCCATATAGACTCATGGACGAAGGTAGATTGAGGCGCGATAATGACCAGGGAACAGTTACTAGGCGCTAGAATTAGGCAGATAGCTGAGACGCTGGAAGATAACACCCTGGACGTCGTGGAGAGGCTGAAAGCTCAGAGAGAGAAGGACAAGGAGAGGTGTGATAAAACCCTCGGAGTTAGGCAAGAAGGTATACCTACAGAAAGCTTGGTTTTGCTTTACGATTCATCTCTGGAGAGAACCTGGTCAGGAAGATTGGCGAATAGGTGGATGGGACATTACCGCGTGACCAGAGCTTACTTGCTTGAGGAGCTAGACGGGGCTAGGTGGAAGGACCTGGTGTCTAGCGCGCATTTGAAGGTGTTTAGGGAGCAAGGAGAAAGGTTAGACAAGCCCCGCCCGAACCTAAAGAAGGACAAGGGAAAGAAAAAGATCGAAGAGAAACCGATAGAGCCTTCATAGGGATCTAAAACATCTACCTACGAGAAAGGAAAGAGCTCCAAAAAGCCTACAAAGAAGACATGAGGGGAGATCTTAGGCGTCAGAAACGGCCAGGGAAAGGACATGAAGAAAGGGAAGCGAAAGGTCTAGAGTCCGCCAAGTTGAGGAGAGAGAAGAATCGCAAAGTCAAGGAGACCATTAAAGGCACGATAGTTGTAAGCAAAGGCGAGGATAAACACCACCACGAAAAGCAGCGACGAAAGGTTAAAAAACAATTAGGGGTCAAAAGGAAGATGATTAAGAAAAAGCGGAGCGAGAAAAAGAAACGAGAGAAAAAGGCCCGACGAAAGCGGTGAGGAAACATTTTGGGTTGATTAGTAGAGATTAGGAGTAAAAAAATATTTTCCTTTATATTCCAAGATGGCTCGTCGGGGATGTTGAGAAAGGGGGGGGGGGGGGGGGGGGGGCCCTGTTGTCGGGCGCCTTACACCAACCTTTACTTCCTTGAGGAAAGCACTTGGCGAAAACCAGATCTAACTGCCATGGCTGACTTGGCCACGACCGTCATCAAAATCTGCGAGGTCAGAACCACGCCGGGGATTCCAGGACCGAGACATCAGGAAAGCGGGGCCCACTGATTCTGAGTGAGCCTTTTTCAATAAACACTATAAAATTCTATTGTTGGCAAGACATAAAAACATTGTGACAACAGGGGAGGTGTCGGAAGCGTCGGCTGAGTAACAAGAGCGAGAGACCCAAACTCACACTAGAGCGAGACGATGAGCATGACGAGAGAAGGCGCCCGGCTCCTGCGGCGAGCCTTCGAGCGGACTAGGGAGCGACGACATGGGTCGATCACTGCAGGCCCAAAAATGAAGGAGAATGCTGCGCAAACATTTATGAGGCCTTGACATTTGGGTCGTAAGTGAAACTGGTGTCGTCCCCCGTATGGCGGCGAGCCTTCAGGCGGACTAGGGAGCGACGGCAGGGGTCGATCACTGCAGGCTCAAGAATGAAGGAGACTGCTGGCAAAGATTTATGAGGCCTTGACATTTGGGCCGTAAGTGAAACCAGTGTCGTCCCCCCTACGTCGTACGAGGGGTCCATGTACGACCCGTCTATGCGGACGGCCGGACGGGCGTACAGACGTACGGTCGTCGGCCGTACGATGGTATTTTAGGAGAAAAAAAAAAAGGGGGGGGGGGGTGTAGATCTCAAAACGATCTACAACCCCATATTTTTATTTCTATATTTTGGCCTTTAAAA